CCCCCCTCCTTTCGCGCCTCCCTTTCCCGAGTGCCCTTCTCTGAGTTGTTTCTCTAGACTGTGGTCCCTCGTCCTTTGCGTGACCTCCACCGCCCCCTCGCACCCCACCACCACCACCACACCCAACCCGAACCATGTCCCCGCACGACCCCGGATTTCATATCTGGCGTTCCGTTACCGAAGCGGGGGCGTTCTATGAAGGAGCAAGCTCGCGTAGGAGCATTGTTATCGTGACCAGAGCGAATCGCGGCAGAGAGTGCGGCTTTCGTTTTACACGATGCGAACAAACGTCACGTCACGCTTCGGCTCACCTAGACTGCGCGCGCGTATTTTTTTTGTTACGTTTTTAGCTTTAAAAAAAAAATTGGCTTCGATGTCCTGCACATGCGCGTTTCTCTTTTTTTTCTTCTAAGCAAGTAAAAAAAAGGGGCAATAACTGATGCAGTGGGGGGGAGGTGGGAGAAATTTGGAACAGATTTTTTTTTCGGGCTGCGAGTTTTAGTTTTCGGGGCGAACAGATTTCGAGCCGCGTTTGGAGAACAGCGGCGAGGAGCCTCGGGACACCATCCCAGCCAATCGTCAAGGCAATGTCACAGACACAGAATAACAGCGCCGGCTCTTTTTATGTTTTGAGTCGAGGTAAATCGTTTAGAGCGTTGTTTATCGCCTCTCGCAGAACTGTTGGAAATCGCGCTGGAAAATAAAAAATTTATATCGTTTGTTACCTTCAAAAAAATTGATAGCGTGGCAAAATATAAGTGCAGCCAACTGGAAGGCTTTAATGTGACCAGCACTGTGATTTCATTCATCTGGGCGGTAGGGAAAAAATGTTCTGCCCTTCTTCAACGCGTGTACTGTACGTTGAACTTTTCTTTCACACCATGTGTAGCCAACTGTGCTAATCGCAAAGATGCGGGGGGGGGGGGGGACAACAAACATAAACACTCATTGGCGTTGGTCAGTGTGATGACCTCTTGACCCCTTTTCGGTGGCCTGCCGCAGGCGAGTTACTCCGGCTTAGCCTAGGAGCGGACCTGGAGCTTAGCCAGGGCGAGAATGTGAGAATCAGAATATGAAGGGTGTTATCGGCCAATTATCGAGCGTTTATACATGTGGTGAGGAAAGTGAAGGGCACCACCAAAAACCTGCGGCCCACAGTCACGTCCCAGCGCTTCAACAGGCCCGTCCATGTAACGAAAAATTTCCCTGAAGAGGGAAGCTCGGCATCGCTCGCCACCTCAGCCAGCCGCCGGAGTGGCGCTAAGCAGAGGTCGCAAACGGGTTTTGATTCCTTACCCGTACCCGGCCGCACCAGGGTCGCAAATGGGTCCCCGTACCCGGCCGGGTACGGGTAACCGTTCCCTACCCGTACCCTACCCGAAATGAGTGACAAACGGTTACTCACCAGTGACTCATGGCCTACCCGTACCCGGCCGCACCAGGGTCGCCTAAACGGGTACCCGTACCCGGCCGGGTACGGGTAGCCGGGTATCGGGTAGGGTACGGGTATCGGGTACCCGGTTGCGACCTCTGGCGCTAAGGCAGTGTCCGCCTACTGCAGGTCCCTTCATTCTCCCAGGGTCAGCCCTATGTCCCAGCAACTGAAGCCGACGACCATGCCTGGTCCTAGTCCCCGACGAGAACTAGGGCTACAACCTCGGGGGCACACGCGGCGGGAGGCTTACAAAGCGGCGACCCGTCGCCACAGGCGCACGTAACGGGAGCCTGCAACCGGGGACAACGGCATTGGTGTGTCTCAGCCCTTTGCGGTGCACCACTCAGTATGAATATTCTTGCAGTCGTTCAAGCCACCAAGCCATTTGACCCGCCGGCTGGTCAATGCGAAGTGAATAATGTAACGACGCATGATCCGTCCTAGCAGTAAACTCGCGACCGTACAGATAGGGGTGAAACTGTTGAACAAAATGGACGACGGCAAGCAGCTCGCTGCGGGTAACACAATATTGCTGTTCGGCCGGTGACAAGACGCAACTCCCGTACATGATCACGACCTCCCTACCCTCTTGAACCTGGGAAAGAATGGCCCCGATACCCACGTCACTAGCATCTGTATCTAACACGAAGGCAAGCGAAAAATACGGGAATGCTAAAGATGGCGCTTCTGTCAGATGCTGGCGCAGCGTCAAAAATGCGTCGATCTCCTCCTGGCCCCAATGGAACATTTGTCCCTTTGCCATGAACGGAGGCAAGGGCATAGCAATGGGGGGGGGGGGGAACTTCTCGACAAAGCGGCGGTAGTATGACCTAAACCCCACGAATCTGCAGACCTCGGTTACAGACGTGGAAGTGGGCTAATCACGTACATACTCTACACCGTTTTTTCCAGATCCGTTGTGACCCTGGACGCATTGACGACATGATCCCTTTTGGCGTCATCTGGTCCAACACCATGTGAGACTAGGCTCTAAGGAAAGCTGTCTCGGGTGTGGACCAATCAACGTCAAGGACAGTGCATACATTATCAGAGTTATGTTTTTTGTTTGCATTATGACTGCAGGTATTGTGGTCAATGCAAACATGACTCCTTGTAAAAAAAAAGGTGTCAGTTTTGTTGCCAGATAAAAGGGTTAAAACCCAATTATCATATTTTTTACTGGCAAATGAGGTTCCAATGGCATGATCCAAGTACTTAACAGAGGACCAAAATGTTCTAAAAGACTTGTCACAACTGGGCCAAGTGTTCCTCGAACATGCAACCAAAGACAATGACATCATCTAAATAGATGAGGCAGGACTCCCACTGTAACCCCGCAAGTACCAACTCCATCAACCGCTGGAACGTGGCAGGAGCTGTCTGCAAACCCATCGGGAGACAGTTGAATTGAAAAAGACCTTGGGGTATCCTGAACACAGTTTTTGGTCTAGATTCGTCATCCAGTGGTATCTGCCAAATTGCCACATCCAATGTGGTGGGTAGTGCTGCCAGGGCCTCCTCCTCTGTCCCCTTCAGTCCCCGGACTGCTATCTTGAAACGGCAAACAAAAGAACACCCATCCCCTGTTTTGGACGTCAACTCCTCTATCGTGCCCAACTGGCGACCCCGTCCACATTCCCTTGGTCATCCTGGTTGGGGTGCGCATGGGTTTGTGGTCCCGGTTTGTGCTGCTCTCTCTTGCTTGGTCGGCTGCGCTCCGCTGTAATCCGGATGGTCCCACTCTTGAGCTGGTGCTATCGACGGGGGCTCGGAGGGCGGGATAGGGCTTGCTCCCTGGTCCCGCGCAGGACACACTGTCGGCGGTGTCGGTGGTGGTTCGCCCGCTGCTGGCTGCTGCTCAGTGTCCCGGGTTGGGAAGGCTGCATGAGGCTTTCGCCGCCTTCCTGGGGTGGTGATGTGGCTAGAGGCCCTCGACGTTGTCCCACCTCGGGCCCCGGCAAAGCAGCGCTGTTACTGCTTCCAGCAACTGATCCATCCTCCGATCTCTGGATAATGGTCTGCTGTGGCAGTGAGTCTGCCCCGCCGGGTTGGTGGATGAAGGTGCCCATGTTGGTTGGACGGCTGCCTCGGACCTTGCCGATGTACCGGCGGACGAGTCCCGACTCGGCGGGTCCGTTTCAGAGCAGTGCTCGCCCTCGGAGCCTAGAGTGTCTTCTGCTTGGGTCTCCCCAAGCTGAGCTGAAACTTCCCACCGCTGCCACCAGATGAAAAGGAGACTTGGGCTGGTATACTTAAATTTCTTTATTTGATTGTGACCGCTCGTACACCACAGCAACACTAGTCTTCTTGGCTCTTTCAGTAAAGTCATGTAGAAGGGAAATAATAAAATAATAAAAATCAAACATAGTAAAATAATTCTCACGACGTTTCGGCCACAACGCAAGCAGCCGTCCTCAGGTGAAGACCAGGTCTGTCGGAAAGACAGCGTCTGAATGAAACACCACCAGGCTTGGAGCGTATATTTAAGTTGGATTGGAGGGGGAAGAGCGCCTTGACAAAAAATCGAAACGCAACACTAGTCGTTAAACCAACCTCATTTGCACGTTTTCCAGTCCCTTTTAAACCTCCTCTCCACCAATCACCTTTCTCCAACCACTCACCCATCGGATTGCGTGACCTGCACATCAGTGCTCACACCCCCATCTTTATTTCCTGCCCGAGCGTGCCTTGTGTGCGTGATGTGAGTGACCCCTGACCTCCGACCCTTCCCTGTGTGCATGATGGATGCGTGTGGCGTGTGTGTGATGTCGAGTGCGGAAGATACACGTGTTGTTTGTGTGGTGCGAGTGTGTGAGGAAGAATGAGACATCCTCTACACTTCTAATCAATTTCCACACGGATGGTTTTATGGACGTTATGATTGTAAGATATCATTCGAATAAATTAATAATATAATAGATAATGGGACAATACTTTACCCAGGTTGTATAACAGAGAATAAAACAAGAAATAAACTGACCTCTTTTTTATTTAACCAGGTAAAGGCCCACTGAGCCATATGGCTCTTTTTCAGTAGCGACTTGGCTACAAATGATAGTGTAACGAAGTGGCTCATCATGTGGAAATGTATAGCAGCCAAGTACTCTCAAAGCATGTTTATTCTAAAGTGGAGGGATAAACCAGACGACCCGGAGAAAAATCCACTCTCCAGGCATCAGGGTCGGGATCGAACCCACGACCTCACCCATACCATGTGAAGGAGTTAACATTTTGCCGCAGTGGTGCCCGCATAATAAGATATCAACAACGTCATGTAATTTATGAGAGCCACAAGTGCAGTCTCCAGGTGATTAATTCACGTTAAAGGTCAACAATAAGAGGTGGTGAATTCTAGATTTGAAGCTTTCGTGACTGCAAGGATTCATACTCTTAGTTCTTTCGGTAAAGTCACGTGACTTTACCGAAAGAACTAAGAGTAAGAGGTGGTGAATATTGAGGCCTAGGGCAGGCTTAGTATAACAATTATACATGGATGCAATTCATGGGACAACAGCGGTGTATTCATTTAATGCCCCGTCCCATCTCATTGTCGACCTCCCCACAGACTCGGTGGAGCGAAGAGTCACAAAAGATGGTGTCGCCGCAGACCTCGGGGGACGAAGTTTGGGCCCCAGACGGGGAGCGAGACGACGTGGACGAGTGCTGGATCGACGAGAACTTCCTCCCCAACGTCATGCCGCCCGTGCTCATCCTCGAGTTCATCCTTGGTCTGCTGGGCAACGGTTTCACCATCTGGGTGACGTGGTGGCACGTCAAGGTGTGGACCAGCTACACCATCTACCTCTTCAACCTGGCCCTCACCGACCTCCTCTTCGTCGTGCAGCTGCCGCTGAGGGTGCACTACCACATGCGGCTCAACGACTGGGTCCTGGGCGAGTTCATGTGCGACATGGTGGTCTTCTTCTTCTATGCCAACATGTACGGCAGCATCTACTTTCTCACGTGCATCAGCGTGGAGCGCTGGCAGGTAATCGAGCGCCCCCTGCGCTCGCTGAGCCGACGCCGCTCGCTCATGCGCGCCAAGCTCGTGAGCGTCGCCCTCTGGTTCCTTGCGCTCGTCCCGCAGGCCGGCATGCCGTTCATCTTCCACACGTTCGAGCACAAAAACCAGACCCGCTGCCTCAGCTTCAACCAGCCATGGCTCATGCGCAACTTCAACGTGTGGAACGCCGTCGAGATGGTGCTCGGCTTCCTGCTGCCGTTCGGCATCATGCTGGTGTTCCACGTGCGCATCGCGCGCAAGCTGCTCTGCTCCAGCACCAACCCGCGCCTCTTGCAGACGCGCAAGCGAGCCGCCCACTTCATGATCGTCATCCTGCTCATTTTCGCCATTTGCTTCATCCCCGTGCACATCATGCGCTCGCTGCTCATCGCCGTCAAGCTGCTCGTGCCCAAGAACTGCGGCCTGCACCAGATGGTGGCGCAGGTCTTCTACTGGTGCCTGCTGCTGTCCAGCTGCAACTGCATTATGGACCCGCTCATCCTCTTCCTGTCGGGCGACCGGTTCCGTGTGGCGGCCAGCGAGGTGCTGCGCAAGTTCTGGGGCCCGGCGTGCGCCTGCGAGGAACCGGGCAGGGCGATGGGCAACAAGTCGGTGGTCATCGCGGTGCACCTGCACAGCATCGAGATCAAGACGGACGACGCCACCTGTAGGGAGAGCACCGGCGGCGTTCAGGAAAAACAGCCGAAGGGCCGGAAGGCGAGGAGGAAGAAGTCGGTCGATGAGGGAGCAAGGCAGGGCCGGGGGATGGGGTCGGAGAGAAGCACGGAGTCCGGCAGGGTGGCGAGGGGCGCCGCCTCGAGGGGGGAGCAGAGAGTGGAGAGGAAGGAGGGCTCCGCGGGCCGCACGAAACCAAGGACGGACCAGACGAGCACGTGGCTGACGCAGGACAGGGGGCAAAAGTTGGCCGGAGCGAACGGCGCCACCGCCGTGCTGGGAAACGGAGTGAGGGCGATGGAAATAAGGACCATCGCGGGCGTAGGGTACGGGGAGGAAACTGCGCATCGTGTTGGCACCGAGAGAAGAAATGAAGTGGGCGATAGGGAGAGTTTCCACTTTCACAAAAACACCGAAGTGCCCAGCAATTGAGATGGGGGCGGCCATCGTCGAAGCAGACGAAGCTTTCAGGTTTTTGATGCGGCGTGGAGAAAAAAAAGGGGGGGAATTCGTGCCCCCCTTTCTGAACATTGAGTGGTGAACGCCGAACATTCAGTTCACATCTGATAAATCACTTTTTTTTATGCAGTCGATGTTTTTGTGTGTGTCTAAGTTATTGGGTTGAACACATGTAACGAAGAGGAACTGTAAATGAACAAGCATGCCAACGATGCAGCGTGAACTTATATATTGTACGTCGTGTAAAATGTTTTTTGGTAATGCATTTTTTAAGTATCCCACCGAAGATGTGAACACGTTGACAAAAGAAACAATGCCACATTGGGAAGTCTGAGCAAAAAATAAAATGTTTTGGCTCTCCTCCTCTTCCCCAATCCCCCACATTTCAATTCATAAACTCCCAGTGAGATGGGAGTTTTATATATATACAGAGATATAAAAGCTGCAATGCGATGATATGAATGTATAAAATGTAACTGAATGTAGACAAAATATAACTTTTTTTATTTTACCAGGTAAGACCCACTGAGCTATGTAGTTCTTTTTCAGAAGCGACCTGGCCACAAATGATAGCTCAACGAAGTGGCTTATCGCGTGGACATTTATAGCAGCCAAATACTCTGAACGCGTGATGTCGATTCAAAATGTGGAGGGGAATAACCGGAGGGACCCGGAGAAAAATCCACGTGAGCTGGCGTGGGAGGCAGGATCGAACCCACGACCTCCTGCATATCAGGCAAGGTAGTTAACATCTCGCCACCGTGGCGCCCCAAAACATAGAGATGCGGTGAGATAAGAGAAGCGAGAAACGGATAGGACAGACGTGAAGTGAAAATGAGAGCGAAGTAGACAAGAAACGAAGGTTGTATTCGACAAGGGGAGAGAGATACGGACGGAAACGAGGTGAGAAAGAGAGATTTGTTAGGATTTTTAAAAATATATTTGCTAGAAATTGAAATCGAACTGATATTTGGTTCACCCCTAAATGTATAAATTAATCTAGATCCTCATGAGTTTCTTGGGCCCTAAGCTTTTGCTTACGCCTGAGTGCCACCACTGCACGTAGGCACGCGCTTTGCCCTTCATGGCTGAACTCCTGAATTAAACATTGCCATTCCCAAATAGCATGTTGAGCCTGTAATTCGTTCCTTTGAAGTTGCAAGTCAGACAACGTTTTTCAGCCGCTCGCCAACGTCCAACTCTCAGGCCCTCGTGTTCGCTTGTTTTCCAGATTGGTGGAGCAGTGCATGTGACAATGATTGTCGATTGCTTTGTTGATTTAACGAAGTAATATCCCTTTCACGAGGGGCAGATTGTATTCCTAGATCTCAGTAGGAAAGAACGAAACGTCACAATAATAACCGTCTTTATTAATTGACATCGTTTGAGATCTTTTTGTTTCGTGTACCGAACATGGCCAAATCATGGGCAACGCATGGACCATTGAGAGAGCAGTGGCTTAACGCCGTGTCAATGAAACACCTCGTTTGGTGGTGAAGCTGCTGCTGCTGCTGGGTTGGCAGCGGTACACGATCACAAATAACAAACAAGACAAATCTCAGCACGTTCGTCAATAACACTGCCCCCCCCCCCCTCTCAAAAAAAATAAGTATATAACAGGTTTCAATTGAAAGCTTTCGTGACTGCAGGGATTCATATTCTTGGTTCTTTCGGTAAAGTCACGTAAAAGGGAATTATTTTATTAGATGTGGTTTTCACAATTGATGATGATTGCTTGTGTTGCAATCGAAACGTCTTGAGAATTTTATTGTTTTATTTTTATTATTTTGTTATTTCCCTTCTAAGTAAATTTACCGAAAGAACCAAGAATATATAACAGGTGTTAACAATGTGCAATAGGTTTTACCCTTTCTGGCAATAAAACAGGTGTTGGGATGTTAAAACACCAAGTGGAAACCCTTTTCTAGGAATCTTAACACCTATTTTATTGCCAGAAAGGGTCAAAACTATCCTTGTTTTTTCATACTTTGATACTGGACAAAAAAAGGTCCCACGTTATATAACAGGTGATGTCTCGCAGCAAAGGCCCCCTTCCCGCAGCACATAAGCCGTAGAGGTAGAAGCCGGCGGTCCTTCCGAGGTGTTATGCGTTGCATACTTTTTTTACATTTATTTTTGGCGCAGTGCTCTTTGACGAATGTGCTGAGATTTTTAGAAAAAAATATACACGCTATTGTAAAACACAAAGATGGGATCTTGTGCGTCTACAATAGGTATCAGCCAGCATCTTACAAAGCGAGTCAGCGGTGGGCACACCGATGACTGTATTTAAACCGCGAGAGCGAACGCGAGCAGGAGAAGGGAAGGAATGTGGTAAGTGAACAGTGGCATGGTTTTGTCGTCACTGAAAGTTTAAAGCATCCCTCAATTAACAATCGATTAACAAGAACAATCAGGTCACCCCGAAACACCTTCGAAATAACACAGCACACGATAACATTTGACACGCGTACGTATGTTGAACTTCTTTCGCACCACCATACGCACGTAGCCAACCGTGCTAATCGGCAGTACGGGGACAGAAACAACAAACTAAACACCTGAAGCAGTCAAATTTCGATTTAAAGCTTTCGTGACTGCAGGGATTCATCTTCTTGGTTCTTTCGGTAAAATCACGTAGAAGGGAAATAATAAAATAATAAAAATAAAACATTATAAAATTATTTTAAAGCTTTCGTGACTGCAGGGATTCATCTTCTTGGTTCTTTCGATAAAGTCACGTAGAAGGGAAATAATAAAAATAAAACATAATAAAATTATTTTAAAGCTTTCGTGACTGCAGGGATTCATCTTCTTGGTTCTTTCGGTAAAGTCACGTAGAAGGGAAGTAATAAAATAATAAAAATAAGACATAATAAAATAATTCTCACGACGTTTCGGCCACAACGCAAGCAGCCGTCCTCAGGTGAAGACCAGGTCTGTCGGGGAGACAGCGTCTGAAACGTCGTGAGAATTATTTTATTATGTTTTATTTTAATTATTTTATTACTTCCCTTCTACGTGACTTTACCGAAAGAACCAAGAAGACCTAAAGCAGTCCTCGAGAAATTATTCGACAAGACATCGTAACATTACACGTTCGCCTATCGCTTAGGGTTTTTGCCACTTTCCCGCCTCTGACCCTTGACCCCGGATGGTCTGGGAATTGGCATCTGGTGTTTGGGTGGCAGGGATTGGGTTGTGCCGCTGGGCTGAAATTTTACTGCGAGATACCTGCACAGTTTTTAAGGCCGACTGGTTTTAGAGTGGCAACCCTCTACTACATTCGCCATTGCAATTTTCATCCAAAGTATACAGGAGCTCCCCAACTCACGAATTTTCAGAGATATGAACAAACCTGTCCGTATGTCCAGTTGCCCGTTCGAACCGAGAGACGTGAGTTCAACCGCCGCGCAATAGATGGCGGTGATGGCATCTACATCTGCAGAACATGAAGAACCAGTGGCATCTACGTCTACAGGAGATTATACAACTTTTAAAGCCATTCCTTGTGTTCGGTGTGCATGCCGTACAAACATGTTTGGAATCGACGGGAGTAAAGTTGGACTTACAAGAAATCAACTTACGAACAGACCTCTGGAACCAAACTCATTCGTAAGCAGGGGAGTCCCTGTATACCGTATGTACTGTACACTTATTGATTCGTGCATTATTGTACAGAAGAGCTAGAATGATAGGCATTTTTTCGCAAACGTTACAAAGCAGGAAACAAACAATTGTGATTATGTGGGGCAGGAAAGAAAACTTTGGAAAATGTAGAGATGTTTTTTTTATTGCACCGGCACGAAAGCTAACTTTATTTAAAAGTCATATTTTTTAATGAAAATCACTTACAGTAAAATAATTATCATATCATAATATATTACAAGATGCCTATATTTTGGGGAGTCGGGGGTTGGGTGAATTGTGTTGCGTGTACTGTATTCGTTATTTTTACGTGTATTTATTTATTTAAGCCAATTGCGATTTCAAATTGAGAATTATTTTCTTGTTTCGGTTTGCATATTGGAGAAACACAGATATAAACGGCGGTCAACAGGTACCACTGTAAGTGACAAAAAAAAAATAAACGTACCTGCAAAAAGTGATACCCGCATGCATATTCCTATCGTATCCACAAAAGCAGTGTTCGTGAATGTTGATTTTTTTTTTTTAGTTAAAGATTTGACTTGACTATACGTAGGATAACAATGACGAAAGCACCACAAGTGACCACAACCGCTGCCCACCAGTTCGTCAGTTGGTTAGTTCATCCTCGTCATTCCCTGCGGGACACGAGACCGCAATGAGTTCCCTCCCACTCCTTCATGTCCTTGGCAACATGTTGAGTCTCGCCCCAAGAGAGGCTGATCGCTGCTAGCAGCTCATCCTTCGCGATCTTTAGCCAGGTGGTCTCGGATGTCCCAGATTTACTTTTGCCCCGTGGTATCAATCTTAGGGCAATTTTTGGTATGCAGAGATGTACCCATTTACAAGGCTCCCAACGCTGACACCAATGTAACTTAAGAGTACTGGGGATAAACGGAGATACAAACTGAGATGAACAGGATTTGAAGCTTTCGTGGCTGCAAGGATTCATACTCTTAGGTTTTTTCGGTAAAGTCACGTAGGTAAAAAATAATGATAAAATAATAAATGAAAATAACTTATTTAGTTTTTTTCAAATCTAGAATTTTCACGTGACTTTACCGAAAAAACCTAAGAGTATGAGATGAACAAGTCACTTTGTTCGAGAATGCAGTAACTGCGCTTGTGTTATAATTGGCTCATAGATTAATCTGAAAAGATTTTACCCACTTCACCGATTGCCCGTTCTGATGATATTTTCAAGGGAAAAAAATCGTCGAACGTCGTCACTCGAGCATTTCATATTCGTGGGGCTTTCGTCGACTATGTTATTAAGAGATCCACGACCGGGTGAAATCTACCGATTGAGAGTTGACTAAAATTTAAAAAACGCCGAATATATGAACGCCGCACCAATAGTCCATTTTGTGTGTACTGTATGTTGGAACTTCTATCACACCTTTCGTGACTGCAGGGATTCATCTTCTTGGTTCTTTCGGTAAAGTCACGTAGAAGGAAAATAATAAAATAATACAAATAAAACATAATAAAATAATTATTAATTCTAACCTTACTCCCTCCCTTTGATACTGCTAATCCTGCATAATGCACGGGCATAATGACTTTAAACCCCTCGCCAAACCTCCTACGCATTTCACAAGTAGTACTAATCGCATATCTGCATTTCCCATAAATATGCTAAATTCCTCTTGATATGCAAATTATTTTGTCAAGACGCTCTTCGCCCT